TTTTATTTTATTTTATTTTATTTTATTTTATTTTATTTTATTTTATTTTATTTTTTGGTTTTTTTTCAAGCAGGGTTTCTCTGTGTAGCCCTGGCTGTCCTGGAACTCACTCTGTAGACCAGGCTAGCCCCGAACTCTCGAACTCAGAAATCCACCTGCCTCTGCCTCCCAAGTGCTGGGATTAAAGGCGTGCGCCACCACCGCCTAGCAACAAACACTTTTTAACTGCTGAAATATCTCCAGCCCCTATTTCCAAAATATTTTTTTGCAGAGACTGTATTGCTTATGTATACTCAGTTTGTTGTATTGTTCATTATTATTTATTGAACCAGTTTTGACATTTTTCTGTGAATTTCATAAACTAAAACAGAAAAATTAGAAGACATAGTAACTGTTCCCCTCTTTGAAGGGGATGGGATTACATATTCCTTTAATACATAATTAGGTTGGGGTTTTGTCCTTAGAGTTTCTTGGGATGCATGGAGCTTTCTTAGTTTCACACTATATCTGGGTACTTTTGAATGCTTTAAGTTTTTTTTTAACATTCATTTATTTTATGTATTTTAGTATACTGTCAGTACATTTAGACACACCAGAAGAGGGCATCAGATCCCATTACAGATGGTTGTGAGCCACCTTTGGTTGCTGGGAATTGAACTTAGGACCTTTGGAAGAGCAAGCAGTCAGTGCTCTTAACTGCTGAGACATCTCTCCAAACCTGGATACTTTAATTTTTAAAAGAAAAAAATCACTGCAACATTTTCTTCCAGAGTTTAGGTGGTATGTACACATTGTGGGTTTAAGGAGCAGTTTGCTTTTGTTTACTTGATACAAAAATGAGACCTACTCTGTTCCTGAGCTGGAAACTTAGGCTACTGTCTTTAAGACTGTTAGCATGTGTCTTAGTTAGGGTTTACTGCTGTGAACAGACACCATGACTAAGGCAAATCTTATAAAGACAACATTTAATTGGGGCTGAGGTTCAGTCCATTTTCGTCAAGGTGGGAACCTGGCAGCATCCAGGTAGGCATGGTGCATGCAGAGCTGAGAATTCTACATCTTCATCTGAAGGCTGCTAGTGGAAGACTGGTTCCCAGACAGCCTAGGACAAGGGTATTAAAGCTCACCCTCAAAGTGACACACCTACTCTAACAAAGCCACACCTCCCAACTGTGCCACTCCCTGGGCCAGTCATACACAAACCATCACACCATGTCAGATGCAGGTTAAAATAAGGAGGAGGAGAAGCCTCACAAGGCCTTTCCAGGTTTTTTATATCCTTACATTCACATGGCTGATATAAGTTTGTTTTTTTTTTTTGGTTTTTTTTTTTTTTTGGTTTTTTGAGACAGGGTTTCTCTGGCTGTCCTGGAACTCACTCTGTAGACCAGGCTGGCCTGGAACTTAGAAATCTGCCTGCCCTGCCTCCCAAGTGCTGGGATTAAAGGCGTGTACCACCACCGCCCAGCTAAAATTTTTAAATATTGAAATTTATAGCAAAGTTATTTTTGACATTTTGCTTTTTCTGTGGAGGGACGTGTGTTTGGAGCAGCCCAAAGCCACTTTCCTGACCTCATTTTCCCTGGACTCTGTGGATGTTCCTGGACTGATGCTGTTTGTATCATCCCTTTACTGCGGTACTGTGTTACCTCGATTGCTGTTGCAGTAAGAGGCAGGTTCTGGCATTAGGAAGCACTAGTCTGACTGCTCTTTCGGGGATCTTGTAGTTTTCTGAGTGTCTTATATGTCCATGTGAAACTTTGCACTGGTTTTGAATTCCTATAAGTTACTCATCCAGGATTCTAATTGTTCTTAGTCACTCTAAAACTTGGATTTTTGGAATTCCTCCCAACTCTTGAGGTCCCTTATACACCAGCAAAGTTCCAGCTTTGTGAGCATTTCCTTCTAACCTATAAGAACTCTGAGTGTACAAGTATGAACCTCACTTGAGGAGCAGATAGTAGGATGTGGGCAGTAACCTGGAGTGGAGATGTACTGTACTGTGGTAAACTAGAGATGACCAAGAAGTACATCCTACTCCCCGGGTTTACCCATGTGGAAGGTGTTTTTACTTTGTGTTTGCTTTCCTGAGTGCCTCAGTTCAATGGTATTATTAATACAGCTGCATGTGGACAGCTGAATACATAAGAAAGGAAACTTTTAGATAATCAAATGATGGAATGAATAGTTGGAAATCAGAAAATCACATGAACATCTACCTATAGAGTATAGATTCCTAGTGGTATAATCTTACCCAGCCTCTAATACACATTGTGGAATATTTTAGAACCCAGTGGCCTTTGATGATGTGGCTATAAACTTCACCCAGGAAGAGTGGGCTTTGCTGGATCCCTCCCAGAAGAATCTCTACAGAGATGTGATGGAGGAAGTCGTCAGGAACCTGACTTCTATAGGTAAGAATGATAACATTTTTTTTCTTTTTCTTTTTTTTTTTTTTAAAATATACTTTAATTGCATGTGCATTTGTATTTTGCCTACATATATGTCTGTGTGAGGGTGTCTGATCTTGGAGTTAGACACAGTTGTAAGCTGCCATGTGGGTACTGGGAAATGAACCCAGGTCCTATGGAAGAACGGTCAGTAGTCTTAACTGCTGAGCCATCTCTCAAGCCTAACATTTCCTTACTTAATTAAAACAAAACAAAAATACCCTGGAATTTTTTTTTAATCAGTTTTAATGGTGGAAAAGAACTACTTTTATGAATAAATGGGCATGAGTTTTAGTATATGGTGAATCTCAAAGGTGCTATTAATTTTTTGAAGTTCATAATTAATAGTGCTTTTTCTTCATCTATATTTTAGAGAAAGGGTGGGAAGACCAGAACATTGAAGATGAGGACAAAAATCCTGAGACAAATCTAAGGTAATCTGAATTCATAAAAGGGATAATGATAATATTCTTTGAGGGGAGCTTAGCATGTCTGTGAACTTTGCTAAACAAACCAAACAGATAAGCACAATTGTAAACATTGATTTCTAGCTAATTTGTCCCCACCCCCAGTTTAACAGTGTTTTGTTTTTAAGGTAGTTGATTTTCATACAGTACTAAGAAACTATGTTAACGCCACTTTTTTGATAATAGATTTGGGGAAGCCATGTTCCAGAAAGGTGATTTCATTTTCTTTCTTTCTTTCTTTCTTTCTTTCTTTCTTTCTTTCTTTTTCCGAGACAGGGTTTCTCTGTGTAGCCCTGGCTGTCCTGGAACTCACTCTGTAGACCAGGCTGGCCTCAAACTCAGAAATCCACCTGGCTCTGCCTCCCAAGAGCTGGGATTAAAGGCATGCGCCACCACTGCCCGGCCCATTTACTTTCTAGTAATTAAGATGTGCCAGGACTCTTGGACTTTCTCTGAAATTGGTTATAATGTAAATCCAAGACATTAATGAATAGAAATTCAGCAGGAAACCAATCTTCGCTATGTGCTTGCGTTTTGTACAGAAGTCATATGGTAGATTCTGTAAAAGTAAAGATCATAAAAATCAATGTGGGTGAACTTTCAGTGAGATTACAAATCTTAATCTGAAAAAGAAACGTGCTTAGTATAGAAAAACTATGTGAAATGTGACTTGTCTGGAAAAATCTTCATATGTTGTTCATTCCTTAATAGGCACATCATAGTCAACTCTGGATACAACATATCTGAAGGTGAAGAATACTCTGAGAAGCCATATAAATTTACACAGTACAGGAACTCTTTCCTTTCTCTTATGAGTATTCAAAGACATATGATAACCGACACTGGAAGTAAGCCTTATAAGTGTATGCTATGTGGGAAAGCCTTTCATTTCCCCAGTGAATTCAGAATCCATTTAAGAACTCATACTGGAGAGAAGCCCTATGAATGTAAACAGTGTGGGAAAGCTTTCAGTCATTCCAGCTCCTTTAGAAAACATGAGAGAACTCACACTGGAGAGAGGCCCTACGTATGTAAACAATGTGGAAAAGCCTTTAATTGTTCTGGTTCCATCCGAAAACACGAAAGAACTCATACTGGGGAGAAGCCTTATGAATGTAAACAATGTGGAAAAGCCTTCAACTGTCCCAGTTATCTTCAAATTCATGAAAGAAGCCACACTGGAGAAAAGCCCTATGAATGTAAACAGTGTGGGAAAACATTCAGTTGTTCAAGTTCCCTTCGAAAACATGAGAGAACTCACACTGGAGAGAAGCCCTATGAATGTAAACAGTGTGGGAAAGCCTTTAGTTGTTCCAGTTCCTTTCGAAAGCATGAACGGACTCATACTGGGGAGAAGCCCTATGAATGCAAACATTGCGGTAAGGCCTTCTTTTCTCTCACGAGTGTTCGAACACACATGATAAAACACACTGGAAATGGGCCTTTTAAATGCAATGTATGTGAAGAAGTGTTTCCCTTTTCCAGTGTATTTAGAAGACATCAAACATCTCATGCTGGAGAGAAGTCCTATGAATGTAAACAATGCAATAGATGGTTTAGTTCTCTGACCTCACTTCAAAATCATGCAAGAAGTCATAACGGGGAAAAGCCCTACGCCTGTAAACAAAGCGGTAAAGCTTTCAGTTGTCCCAGTTACATTCGCAAACATGAACGAGCTCGTGCTGGGGAAAAATCCTACCCATGCAAACAGTGTGGTAAGTGCTTCAGTGCTTCCAGTTCTCTTCAAATACACGAAAGAGTCCATACTGGAGAAAAGCCCCGTAAATGTGAACAAGGTGCTCGAGCATTCAGTTGCTCCACTTCCATCAGGAAACATGAACAAACTCGTACTGGGGAGAAATCCTATGAATACAGTGTGGGAAAGCCTTCACTTCCAGTTAGAATTGATTACTAACAACAGTCTTATAAGTATTCATAACAGTCTTATGAATGTAAGTTCTAGCAAATCCTTAGTTTCTCTAACAGGTTTTTATTTGTTTTTTGTTTTTTAACAAAAATGATAAAGCACACTGGAAATGGACGTTTAAATGTGAGGTAAAAACCTTTCACAGTCCCAGCATATTTAGAGCACATCAAATAAACTCATGCAGGAGAGAAACAGTGAGTGCAGACAGTGTGGTAAGTCCTTCACTTCTTCCAGGTATCCTCAAAACCATTAAAGAATTCATGTTGGAGACTATCCCTATTAATAAAAGCACCGGAGAACCACTTACTACAGTTGCCTTGTAAACATGAAAAAAATTGTACCGGAGACACGTCCTTTGAGTACAAATAAATATCACATTTTCCATTTGCCCTCAAAGAAACTAAATACTCCTTGAACAACAAATCATCAGAGTGACTGTAAAGGATATGAAAAAAACAGAGTTTTCTTAGTTTTTATAAAGGACACAAAAAAGGATCAGACTGAACAATAAGAAGCCCGTGTTTGTGAGAAAAAAGGTAAGGCTTCAGACGCCACAGTTCTCGTAGATTATGTGAAAGAACACCTGCTAGCTAAAACACTATGAATAGGAATGGGGGTGGGGGGAAGCATTCAAATTTTCAGTGTTCTTCAAAGGCATAAAAAGACCTCAGAGGGAAAAAAGCCTGTAGGCCTAAGTAATATGGGTAGGCTTCAATTTTTAAACTTCTTTCTGAGAAGCATAGAAGAACTCTGTAGAAAAGTCTGAGTGTAAGAAATGTCAGAAGACCTTCAGTTTTTCCACTTTCATTCAAAGACATGTTAGAACTCATCTAGAAAAAGACTGTTGGGTACAGAAATTCTACTGAGTTCATTTCTTATTGAAAGGTACATGATACACTGGAGATGACCATGCATTACATTGACTTTACAATGTGGGTTAAAGCATGGATTGTGTCTTTTTATATTAGATACAATTTTGTAGTATTTTGTTGAGACTTTTTACAACTGTATTCAAAGAGATTTATGTATCTTGGTATAGTATATAATATAATATTATTTAGTACATACAGTGTATGCATGTATATATGTGTATCTGTAGGATACAGTATAGTTTGTATATGAGTAGTATATATTATATAACTAGTTTATATGGTATGTAATTAAATGTAACCACTATTTTACTATAGTATTATACTATATGGCTATGCTATTGAAGTCTTATCAGTGTGTAGAATAAAGTATTTCAGTTACCCACCCCAGTCCCTGTCTGTAGCTATTTCTTGCTTCAGGAGCATGGCTATCAGGATCCCCAATATTCAGCATCAACTGTTTTCACCAGGTGGAAAACAGGGATATTTCTTTACTAACCCATGGGCTTGGGACTTCAGCTGGTATCAAAATCCTCAGCATCAACTGGATGGTAATATACCTTTAATCCCAAAAATAGGGAGGTAGAGACAGGAAAGGAGGGAAGAGAAGAAGGGAGGGAGGAAGAAAGAAAGCAAACAAAACCAACCAAAGGAAACAACTCCACAGAATCTTCAGTATCACCCATTTTTGTCCTTGAGGAGTAGGGAAGGTCCTGTTCTACAGTTCTGGGAATGTGGCTATCAAACTTTAGAGCAGGTCTCCAGAAAGCTATCAATAAATGATCTGTAGACATCCTTTTCACATCCTGTATGTTGTCCATGCCAAAGTCACAAGGCCTGGCACCGTCTTTACTCATGTGATAGAGTTCTCTCAGTTTACAACTGCAAGAGATGAGACACCAGAACCATGAATCCAGATGTTACCTTTAAATGTCCCATAATTCTTAGGGGAGATTTTCAGAGACAAAGACTTAAGAGATTCTGAAAAAAAGCCCTGGCACTCCTTGGGCTTATACCATGAGGCTTCAAGGTCTCATCCAGTGGTCGGTCACAGCAAGTGGTTAAGAATGCTATATGCCCTGATACCTACTTCAGCTCTTATTTAAGGAAGGTACTGTTTGTGTTTCAAAACTTAGATTCTGGAATTACCCATGTGACACAACAGGACCTCATCTCACAGGACCTGGTGAGGCTTTCATGCATCCTGTGACATCAAAACTTTAGCCACTGTTACTACAATGCACCTGCATTCTTGAGTCCCAGGGAAGGTCTTCTCATGGCTGTGAAGGGTCACGGCCTATGGCATCATGTATGCTTGTCCTGGGGTGAGGCCCTGGATAGTTCTCAGTATCCTGTAGAACAAGTAATGGTAGATGCTGCCAAAACACCTCTCATTGCACCAGCCTGTAATTCCTGTGAACACATTTGGATGCCTGTGTTAACTACATAATTGTACAACTACTTTTATGAACTCTTATGCTTTGAACTATCAGGATACTCATGTATACTCCTTATGAAACAAAGATGAAAGCACACAGGCTATGCTCAGTTGTAGGCAAAGGTAGAGTCTAGAGGGTACCCTACAAGGAATTGTACACTGACACATGGGTAGGGTTACAGAGACAGTTTAATATGGAAGAATACTTCCAAGAAGGGAGGTGGACCATAGATGGGTAGAAAAGTCAGAGGCTCAATGATCCCACTGACTAGCATATTAAGGTCTGTATGTTATTTGTACAGTGTGCTCTTCTTATAGGTATGATTCAGTTTCAATTGGGGTGGGCTTTTTCTGATTGCCCACCTCCCCACATATTGCCCATTTGTTTCTATCACTGGTTTCTTTTTTATATGCTAATCTATATAATTTATGTAGCTTATACATTGTATGTTCTGCTCTACTCTCCTGCCACATCTTCAGTATCAAACCTGATGACTGTGGGTGTCTTAGTTTGGGTTTCTATTCCTGCACAAAACATCATGACCAAGAATCAAGTTGGGGAGGAAAGGGTTTATTCAGCTTACACATTTTGTTGTTCATCACCAAAGGAAGTCAGGACTGGAACTCAAGCAGGTCAGGAATCAGGAGTTGATGCAGAGGCCATGGAGGGATGTTACTGGCTTGCTTCCCCTGCCGTGGTCAGTTTGCTTTCTTATAGAACCCAGGACTATTAGCCCAGGGATGGCACCACCTACAATGGGCACTCCCCCCTTGATCACTAATTGAGAAAATGCCTTACAACTGGATCTCATGGAGGCATTTCCTCAACTGAAGGTCCTTTCTCTGTGATAACTCCAGCTTGTGTCAAGTTGACACACAAAACCAGCCTGTACAGTGGGGATCATAGACCCCTGCATATTTATTCCTCCATGTCTCAATGGCTTTTTCTCTTCGCCAGCTAAACAAGAAACCACCTTAAGAATAGTATGGGTATATAAATCTAACATGCAGATTTGCAAACTTGCACCTATGTGATGGGAATTCTGGCTGTGCTCCAGAGAGTACAGGGACTTCTCCTTGGGAGCTATGGTTGGACACTTGGGAAGCAGTTAGACAACCTGTGTGTGGATGAGCTGGGACAGGGACTGATGCAGCAGGGTATAGTGGGTAACTCAGTGTCTGCTGCCTCTCAGGTTGCCTTGGTTGTCGTCTCTGTTGAAGTTCCTTAGAGGTATTTGATAGTAAGGCTGCCACCACTTGGGAATTTCCCACACAAGCACTAGTAGATGGAACAGCTAGCTAGCTGGGGCCTATGGGTGAGTCAGTCATCAGGTATGACTGGAATGCAGTTCCAGACTCTTCCCCTTTGCAAGGCCTGCGTGCAGAGATGGCTTGCATAATTCCAGCCACACACTGGTCATTGTCTAAGCTTGCATGCTCCTGCTGACAAGACAGAAAGAACCTGGCTTCATACAACACATTGTCCTGTGTGGCTCTGAGAGAAGAGGACTCAATGCTCTCCTGCCATGTCTTGTGAATTCCAGTACTGAAAAACAAGTGGAAGCTTCCTAGCCTGTCTCCTCAGCAAGATGAGACTCGCTGAGGCCCTTCTATTGCAGGACTTAGTTTTGCCTCTGTCCCATTCTCTTTCCTCCATTCCTCACATCCTGTGTGAATCTGCCAATTAGGTGGTTTCCCACAGGAAAGAAGCAGTTGGGTTTGTTTGCTTGTTCTTTGAGATCAGGTCTCCCTGCATAGTTCTGGCTGTCCTGCAACTCACTATATAGACCAGTTCAGTGAGAGACCCTGTCTGAAAAAATAAGGTGGAGAAGCAATAGACACCCAACAATGACACTGTTTGTGTGGTTTCAGTGCTCTGAGAACATGGATAATTTTATATACATATATATGTATATACTTTTTTTTTCACGACACAGTTTCTTGGTATTTCCCTGGCTGGACTGGAACTGTTCTGATTGTTATAAAGATGCTAAAACCATGTAACTTTCATGAAAATAAGTGCATACCTTTTTTCTTGATAGGCTTTAGAGCTTAGGGTTGCTCTGTACCCTCCCAAGTGCTAGGATTACAGGTGTGTATGCACAGGTTATTGATTTTTTGAAAAAGATTTATGTATTTGAGTACACTGTAGCTCTCTTCAGAGACACTAGAAGAGGGCAATCCCATGTTGCTGGGAATTGAACTCAGGACCGCTGGAAAAGTAGTCAATGCTCTTAACTGCTGAGCCATCTCTCCAGCCCAGGACATTGATCTTTTATAAGCCAGCTTTTGGTTTCATTGCTATTCTCTATTCTTCTATTTCAAAGACTTGTGCTGGCTATTTCCATTTTACTGTGTAAGTTCTATTTCTTGGGTTACTGATCCATGACATTTGTTCTTTCTGAAGGCCTGCCAGCTTATCATTTTCCCTCTAGTTAAGGTTTTAGCTGTCTTACAAATAGTTTGCATATTGTCTCTTCATTTTCGGTAATCTAAGGTGTATTTTTTAATGTTGCTCTTGATTTTTTTATTTTACCCTCACATAATCTATATCTACACTTGAGTTCTCCAACCAATTGTTGTTTCATTGCAGGCTTAGCCAGGCAGACTGGCATGTGTGTATCATCCTCCCACTGGGAAAGATGAAGACAGGATTCCCTGAACACAGATTTGAGGCCCTCCTTGGGCCCAGATTAGGATGTTTTCCTTTTGTTAATGCTTTACACATGCTGGGATAACTAGGTGGAGTATATTTAATTGTTAATCCAAATCCTCTTTTAAAAGATGTTACTTCTTTCAAACAGCAGTGTCACAATGAGAACACATGTCAGTGAACTAAGGCTGTGCCCTTGGCAGCTGGGACAACAAAATAAGGAGAGGATACAAGATCTTCCAAAACACTAATCTTGGGCTACAAGAACCAGCACCTGGACAGGGCAGAAATCCTTACACAAGTTTCAAACTGTGGCAGAGTTTGGGCAGTCTGTGGTCTACTCGAGCAGCAGGAAGGAGCTCCTCCACTTTGACATGGATTCTAGGGTTCAAACCTGGCAACAGATTTTCACAGCAAGTAAGTACCTTTGCTTACCGAGCTGTTTATCATGCCCCCCTGTCTTGTTAATCTAACTTGGGAGTCTATTATCATTCTAATTATGATGGTCATGAGAATACATAGTAGGCCTAGGGTGTTAATTTTTCTTAATTCTGCCAGTCTAGAATAAGGGAGGTAAATTAAGTTGCTGGACCTCTTGAGTGAAATTTAAGTGTCTCCACATAGGAAAGGAATCAGGGCCCCAGATACTTCACCCCTGGCCAGCTCAAAGGCAGAGCCTGGGCAAGCTTATTTACCTGGCCCTGTCTAGGGACTCCCTGAGATAATGCTGGCATAGTCTCTGAAACAGGAGGTGTGCCATTATTTAGCTGGCAAAGGGCTTGAAGGTATTAGTAAATAATTTTCTTTCCACTGATTGTACATCTAACACCAAGTGCCACCCTCCTGGCCAGTGATCTCCAGCAGCTCCCCAGGAGTCCCAACCAAGGGAAGCTGCTCCTTGTGGCAGGCAGGACAGAAAGATAGGTGTCTCTGCCCCTGCCCACATGCTTACACTTAGCTAGTAGAGGACCTGCAGCTCGAAGGGTGGATTAGCTACTCTGCAGCAGGCCACCAGTTGTACCTTGTAAAATGCAGCTCTCTAAGCCTCACATAGCTCCTCTGAAAATGTTCCCAGGCCTTACCCAGAGGGGTTTCTTAGGGATGATAGGCTGTGTCACTGGCACGAGGTCCTGTACAGGAAGGAACCCTACAAAGATCATGGCCAATTCTGCTTATAATTTCCTTCTCCCTATGAAGCCTCAGCTCAGCCCATGAAGGCTGCAGGTTTAGGCAGTTTCTGTCTGCAAAGATGTCCACAAGTCCAGCACTATTTAGAGCTATACCTCATCCCAGTGGTCTATGCTGGGGTCCAGAGTAAGCAGCTGGCTCTCACACAGGCTGCACACCTCTGCCCTCAGTCACAACCCCTCCTTCTAGAAAGAGCACAGAGAACATGGATGCATGCCAACACCAGAAGTGTCATGTGGATTCATGCAGGCCATGAAACAATGGTTTGTCTTCATCTCAGACTCAGAGAACATGCATGGGCAGTGAGCACAGCCAACAGAGGAGGCATTTACCTATCCAGGTCACCCTGAGACTGAGTGTATCTGTCCCCTCTACAGGGTTCCCTATAATTCTGCAGATGAGCTAGCATAGGAGGGCAGGCCTTAAAGGACTGGTGTGTAGAAGAATGCTACTGCTCCCTAGGAGTCTCTTCTCAGTGATGACCTTGAGGAAATGGTAAAATTCTTCAAAATTGATCCCTGTGCAGGACTTCATGATGACCCAGGCCAAAAGGAAAGGGAGAGTAAGTCCCTCGGGTCACATGCAGACTCAGACTGCTCTGGTGTGCAGAGGCCCCTCCTCCCACACACCCAGGGGGCAGGGGCTAAGATGGGACCCAGAGACAAAGGTTCACAGCCAGGATAGTACCATCATCTCCATCCTGGGGGCTCAGATGGACCAGTACCTGTTTTTTTCAGCCACTAAGCCACTGACAAACAACACCCAGCTTAATAACTCCTCCTACAGCTTATCATACCCTGGTTAGTTCCTCCTAGTTCAGTTGGAGCCTGGAGTTCCTAGGACAGAACTAGAGGATAAAGAGGCTTGGAGGGCAACTGCATACATACATACATACATATCTATCTATGCCTATGTCCCAGGTTACACAGGGACACCTCCAAGGTAGGCAGATTGGATGTCCATCACTCAGGAATCCTAGGATAACTAGAAGAGGCTGGAGTTCCCCAAGGAAACCTGGTTTCATGATCACTACTACTCAATTCACATGCTTGTCAGGCTTGTTAGGTAGGTGAACATTTCTCTAGCCTCCAGGAGTTAAATTCCCATTTTGGCGGGACCTTCCTCAAGGCCCACCCTGCAAGAACTGCACTGGCACAGGCTTGGGGCACATCCTAGGCCTCAAGGAAAAGTAGCCTGCATTTCCAGAAGGGTCCCGGGGCAAGAGGCTGCTCTGCAGAACTCTCCCTGCATCTTGATCTGCAGCATGCTAAAGGGCCTCTGCGGCAGCCATGGTGTCCTCCAGCTGCTGAAGCAGCTCCTCTGGCTGTGGTGAGAATGCGCTGGTGTCTACTCTCTGAAAGTCAGGATTCACGACCACGGAGGCCAGCACGTCTGCCAGGCGGCCAATATCAAATGCAGCCTGTTGTAGGCCCAGCCCTAGGCTCTGGCTGTCCCCTGAATCCCCCTTCAGTCTTTGCCTCAGGACAAGGAGTCTCTTCTCAGCAATGACCTTGAGGAAATGGTAAAATTCTTCAAAGTTGATCCCTGTGCAGGACTTCATGATGACCTGAGCCAAGAGGAAAGGGAGAGTAAGTCCCGGGGTCACACGCAGACTCAGACTGCTCTGGTGTGCAGAGAAAGACCCCTCCCACACACCCAAGGGGCAGGGGCTAAGATGGGACCCAGAGACACAGGTTGAGAGCCAGGAGGGTCGGCAGCAGGGTCTGACTCAACATGAGCTGGTTGCTTCCCACCTGGCAGTGGTGGTACCAGTCAGGCATAGAGTCCTTCCATTCTCCAATCTCATGCTGCACGGCCTGGAGCTCTTGCTGCAGGAAGTGCCACATGTTTGCCAGGTTGCAGCCATTGATCCAGTTGTGGTTGATAGAGATGGTGTCGTCCTGGAGGGCAGAAGACAAACTGATCCATGACGCATCAGTAGGCCTCACCTTGGGTGAGCAAAATAAGTCCTATCCTACACCCACCAGGCTCAGTGCTTTGGGTGGGTGTAATAGTGTCAGCTGTCAACTTGACACAATCTAGACTGACCTGAGAAGATAATCTCAACGAGCAATTGTTTACACTGGATTTGCCCGTGGGCATGTCTGTGGGGAGACTGTCTTATTTGATGTGGGAAGACCCACCTCACTGTGGGTAGCACCATTCCCTAGGCAGAGGGTCCTAAACTGGGTAAGAGCAGAGGGCCAGAGCGGAGCAGTAAGAAAGTAAACCTTTATGCATTTATTCCTCTAATCTTGACTGGGGATGTGATACGACTAGTCATTTGAAGTTACTGCCTTGACTTCCCCACAGTGATAAACTGTGACCTGGAATAAACCCTTTTCTCCCCTAAGTTGCTTTTCATTAGAGTATTTTATCACAGCAATGAAACAAGACTAGTGGACAAAGGTGGAAAGCAGATGCTACGCTACTGTAGCCAGGAAATGTGGATCCCATCTTATGATGGGCTAACACATTGGGATGAAGGCTAGAACTTCATAGACCATGGCAGGAACCACAGTAACATAGGGCAAGGGGATAAGTTCTCAGTAGTCTCATTTGTAACTTCCCTGCCCTATGTCCAGCCTTCACAGAGGAATAATACTGCCCTCTTTCTACAGAGACAGCTGGAGTGGGAAGGGAGAGGACGGAGAGGGAGGGAGCCTGGCAGAAACAAGGTCATGTGCAGTCTTACCAGGTTGTACACTTGATGATGCCACCCGCTGGGCACAAACACCATCTCACCAGGCTCCTGTATGACTTCAATGGGAAGGTTCTTGTGCTGGACCCTGGGATACAGGTGGGTGTCCAGGAGCTCCGTGGAAGTCACATCGTAGGGCAGGCTACCATGGCAGTTCCGAAGGGCTTCCTCCTGCCCTGGCGGGAAGAACAACCATTTCTTCTTCCCACAGATATTGACTGACCAGCTGTAGGAGCGGAGGATGTCTGCATGGAAGGGAGACCTACAGCAAGGGCTTTTGGTTTGTGTCTTGTGGAGTCCTACAGGGAGCCTGTTTACTTATTTATTTTTTTGATAGGCCTCTAGGCAGATACCCCAGATAGTCACACCTCCCATCTCATCTTCACCAGGTACCCACATCCCTTCTGTCATTACCAGGTGCCCCTGGGGCCTGCATAGACAAAACGGTAGTCATCCACGTTGAGGACATCCCAGAACTCATTCAGCCAGTCTGACGAGAAGTACACAGGCAGGGTGAATATATCTTCCAAGTCATCCACCAAGGAGTCTCTGAGGAAAGCACAGGAGCTATAGCAGTAATCCACTCTGTGCCAGACCCAAGTAGGGCCATCCCTATCAAATAGGGCCACCTAAGATCACCCAGTCCTAGTGGACTTCTTGACAGCTGCAGATCCTGAGGACCTGAGCTGAACTTCAAATTGCTTAGTTCAAATGCTGAAGATGACTCTGGGGGCACCCCAGCTTAACCACCCCACTTAGGCAGTGGTCACTGGGCCTCTGAACACATGGTAAGCATCGTCCCAGGTCATGAGCTACAGGCCTTCTTTTCTTCACCAATACTACGGAAACTAATGGTACCTGGCAACTCCAGGCTGCAGCCCCAGGTGTGAGAGCCTCAAAACCCATCAATGGGTCCCCAAATACTGGATCATATTAACACCATCCTTAAAGGAGATACTGGAAAAAACTTCTAGATTCATGTGCCTATAACTCCCAACAAGAGACAGAAATGGCCAGAGCCGAGTAGCAATGAATTATCTGCAGGTCCCCAAACATGAGGGTCCCTCTGCCTCGGTGCATGTAGCAAACTCGTTCATCTATTAAATCCTCAGGTACGGCTTCCCCTGTGACCTCCTGATTATGCAACGCCACACCTTCTGCTCTTTTTCGTTTTAGGTCTTCTGGACAAAAGTACAGTCAAACACTGTATTTCAAATGAACAAATATCTAGCATAAATATGCAATGTAATATTTGGAAAATACTTATACCAAAGTAACAAGGCAAACAAACAAAAAAAAGTTTACCTAAAATTCCAAACTACTGCACACAATAGTGTTAGGGCCTGTGTTGAGGTTTGGTCTGTTACTATGTATTGTAATGATAAATTCTGTACCCTAAGGTCTAGACCTATGAGGGTTGGGAGCGTTGAGGGATGGGGGTGGGGTTGAGTTACCTGGTTGAGCATGAGAGAAAAGGAAAGAACAAGGAGGTAGGGAGAAGGTACCATGAGAGATGGACCATGAGCACATGGTCAGGAGAAACAGAAGTATTTGGGGAACATCACTAGGGAGGTAACCAGGCCAGCAGTTAGAAAAGTAGAACAGGGGTTACCCCCAGTAATTGTCAAAGTTAAATTAAAAAAAAAAAGAAAAGATAGTCTGAGTATCATTTATTTGTAAACTAGTCAGGGCTAAGCTTAAATTAGTTGTACTACAGGCCTGTGAGGCTGTTTCTGTCATGTCCAGATCCAGAGACCATGTCTGGTCACACTTTACCCAGCTCCTGCTCTAGGTCCAAAGAAGTAGCATGGCAGGGTAGCTGGAGGCTGGTGTTTCTCTTGCATCTGGTAAGTTGTGAGAACTGCAGGGGTCTGAATTCCATCCCAGTCTACAGTTCTAAGCCTTACTTCACACATAAATGATACAGAAATTGATCAACTGGTCATTGGCTCACTCAATATTACACTGTGCTTTTTTGTTGGGGGGTCTGAGTACAATGGTCTGTGCTTGTGAAAGGCACAATGAGGTAAAGGAAAACACACAGTCCCAGGGTCACTGTGGAAGAGGGTAATATTCTTTCCAAAATGAGTATCATATGAGCCAGGTCTTAGGTGCAGCCAAAACGCCTGAGATCTAGGAAGCCTCAGATGGGCTTATGTACTAACATGTCCAAATTGAAAATACCATAAATTTCAAAACATACCAATAGCATGTGTTTAGATGCTCAAGACTTTAGCATTCCCAGTTCCAAAAAGAAAAAGCAGCAGTGTGCCTAAGTGCATGACCACCATAGCTTAGCACAGCAACAGAGCACACTGTAGAGGTGTGATCATTTCTGTAGATCCAGGGGTTTGGGTGGGGGTTATGTCTTCTTGACACTGTCCATCATTGAGAGAGAAGGGTGGGAGAAGAACAGACCACATATGACTAGCCTGAGAAAACACCAAAATTCAAATTTTGAAGTAGTTTCTACTGAATGCACTGTGGTCTTGCCCCAGCACAAAGTCAAAATCTCCTAAGTAAAGCTGCCACAAGTTTCTGTGTAAGAAAAGTGGAGGCTGATCAGGGAGGGTACTGTGTATCTCTTTAAAGAGGAAGAGATTTCCAAAGTGGGACAAGAGTGGTTGTGTTACTGTGTATCTCTTTAAAGAGGAAGAGATTTCCAAAGTGGGACAAGAGTGGTTGTGGAAAAGTCATTTGTCCCTTTAGAGAGAGTAGAATGGGCCAGGGGATGGCAAGATCCTAAGAGCAATTGTAGAAGGAACAAGCCTGTTCTCAGTGGGGGTCGCAGTGAGGACAGCCCCAGAGGATCTGCGAGGTACCTGCTCAAACATTATACAGAAGAGGAAGGAGACAACAGGCCACCTGTACTAATACAGATCCAGGAAAGACCTACTTTTCCCATGATAGTCTACCTGGTCCACTATGTTGATCTCCCCACGGAACCATCCTCCCACCAGTTCTGAGATACAGATTAGAACTCGGCTGTAGAGTTAGCCCCTCTGAGTGCAGTAGGTGTGCTCTACCTGGACTGCCTGCACGACTGCTTAGGGTAAGTGCCCAATGGCCAACTGCCGGCCCGTCTTATTACCTGCACAGATGCCAGTCCTTTAGGTAGAGGCAGCCCCGTGGAGAGGAGTAGTCTCCTTGGATGTACTCCTTCCAGTAACTGATATAGTCACGGAAGGGCATGTGCTCTTTAGGGTTTGAATTGTATTCCTGCACTCCACAGTTAGCAACCGGTACAACCGCGTCTCCTGCAGCGAGAGAATCAGCACAGAAATGGTAGAGTCATACGCGTAGTCACCCTCTTGGGCTCCGGCCACCCTCTGGGCGAATTATACAGATACCACTTGTCTGTCCAGTCCTGGTCGCCCTCCCATCCCAGGATCTACGCCTCTCGTTTGAGCCCTACCATATTTCTGCAGCAGGTACTCGAAGTCAGGCTTTCCCTCAGATGTCACCCAGCGCCGCCTGCTGCCCCAGCCCTCGGTGAAGGCGCTGGAAAACACGCAGGGCAGGTTAGGCAGCAGGAAGCCCTTCACGAAGTCAGCATAGGAGAAGGCGTCCGGCGTCTGAATGAAGGTCACGCTGCTGGGTGTGGGACCGTCGCCGCTAGGGACTCGGTCCCGGAGGCCCCGGTAGAACCGCTCGGCAAAGGTGCGCGTCTCCCGATCCATCCACTGGGAACCTGACCCCGGAGGCCCAGTCCCTCTTTCCACTACACTCCAAATGGGGACTGGAAGCTGAGAAAACCCCTAAAACCAGTTCGGAGCAGAAACCACCGAGAAGGAGCCCGGAACAAAAAACCAGAGGTGAGACATTCCAACAGGAACTCGAGCCTTGGAGCGCCCAGTGTGTGCGCGTGCGCACCTACGCGGACCCGCCCTCCCGCGCAGGCGCACAAGCGCTCGCCGAGTGACTGACCGGCTCTCCAGCTGCTGGCGTCTCTGTTTTTGGTGGTCCAGTGGAGCGTGCCAGTGAGTCTTCTGCGCGTTCCTCTTGCCTCAGGTGAGCTGCTAACGCGCAGCTAGTCAGTACCCGAGCCCGCCACTGAGACAGGAGATGAACATAAGTCCCAAACCTCAAGGGATTTCTGGGTCCTGGGAGGATAGTGGGGCGCGGTGCTGGCCGTCAGGGTCCGCGGGGGCGGGGTGAGGTTCCCGAGTGTCCTGGATAGGTTGTGGAGGAACCTTTCCAAGGATTGTGGTGTTGACTTAGAAATAGAACGGGGAAAAATTAAAAAGGATAAAAGTGACTTTGGGAGATGCTGAGGTTCAGGTAGAGAGGTATGCATTGGGAAGAGGGGAAGGATAGATCCAGGAGGCGGAGGATTGTTTGGTCTAACTCGCCCATTGTGGACTTCACTGTGACTCTTGTGATCAAAATCTGGAACTCTGTTGCGGCTAGATCATGGTAGAGATGACAGCTCATAGAGGAATTCAAGTGAAGAGACACATTTACCCATGCCAGGGCTCGTGGTGCACGCCTATAATCCCAGTATTGGGGATTTTAAAACAGAAAGATCCGAGGTTCTAGGCCAATGTGAACCACAAATCAAGACTTAGCTCCAAAGGAAAAAAAGGGCCAGATTACAATAACAGCAACAATTAAAACCCCAAAGCACCCAGAATTCAATTCACATGTAATCACTAAATCTGGTATTGAGCCAGTTTTTCCAGGTATACATGTGTTTATACATTTTATCCCTGTTATCTCCTCCCTCTTCCTGGGACACTCTTCCTTCTTTTCCTCTATTGGCAGCATATTATATTTGGAAACATTATTTTAGATTTTTAATCTACTTCTTGGCATACAATTCCTAAAATTCTTGGACAGTTTGTGCTGACAAATGCCATTTTGCATGCTAATGAGCACAACACCATCCAACAGCCCTAAGCAGGGTAGATTCCAGATGGAACTGTTCACTGAAAGACCTGAACAGGATCAGAAGGTGGGGACTCTTGAGTCCAGCCCTCAGCTTCTAGGGCTAAAGGTTGATTGTGTCATCAGTGGCCAGTGTTTAATCAGTCATGTCCACATAATGAAGTGTCTGTAACATCCCTAGAAGACTCATTCAGAAGATCCTATGTGCTTAGGGAGAGTGAGGGCTGGGTCTTCTCAGTCTTGGCCTCTCGCTTCTTTTTATACCCTGTATAATAGCTTTTAATAGTAAATATGAGCTGGGGGTTTTCTGAGTAATAGGAGCTTCTACGGGAAATCTAAGTCGAGGATCTCTGGAACCCTGATTTATAGAGTGGTGCTACAACCTGGGCTTACATCTGCACTGATATCGGGACATCTTGGAAGACAGAACCCCAACCTTGGGTCCTGATGTGACCTTGAGACATTGTCAGAGCTGAACTGAATTAAGGACATTCTTCTTCTGGTGTCCACTGATGAGGACCCTTTTAGGGTCCCAGAATTCTGTACTGACTAGGACATGAGAGTATAGAGGTAAAGCACATTGTTTTTTTCTGTGAAAGTATGAAACCCAAATAGGAACCACTTCTTTGCTTGAGTATCTGAGACCAGTGTCCCTGAGCAAGAGGTCAGGGCCAGCAGATGTATATGCCCTCAAGATCTCTGGGGGGAACCTAGCCCGTAACACTGTAACTGGAACATGAGCTCCTGTGCCCTGGGTAGTTAGTGCTGTAATCCTGGTCTTCACATGATGGCTGGCCTCTGGGTGTTAGTAACAGTGTCGGTTATGTGAGACCTGGCGAGAGGCCTGAGACACAGGTGTGTACCCATGAAGTTGCCTCTCCTCCCTCCAGCTGGGAAGTGCTGGTGATACACGCCCTCAGCCCACACAGACCTATGGAAACTGCGCATCCTGGGCAGAGCCACCCCAGAAGAAAACAGGAAAGGATTGGAGTTGGCACCCTCCAGGCGAGGTGGAAACACTGCACAGTCTCATTTCTCTCTCTGAATTTTTAGAGCAGGCCCTGCAGCTAGGCTGTGGTGTTTGCTTGAAACATCCTCAGACAGCATGCCTGAGCCTCCCAGGGTGGGGATGGGAACGTCTGAGGGAGTGGAAAGAGGGTCTGCTACAGAGCAGGAGGGCAGGTAATGGAAAAAGCCAGTCTTGCCGCCCCCGCTCGGACACACTGCCCCACTGTTCTCCCGCTCAGCCTTGTGTAGTGGAAGGTGTGCAAAACGTTGCGTGTTCTGTTACTTTGGAAATTAACTAAAAATAGACTGTTTACTTGCTATTGAGTTTTACTCAAGGGCACATGTGTGATGGAAATGCTGAAAGAGACCCATTATGCCAATTCCAGTGTGTTAGGAGTCACGGTGACGTGGGCATATTCCCCGAGAACGTCATTTGTATGAATTTGCTTGACACCCAGGGGTTGCCTGCCATGACTTCCAACAGTAATTGTCTCTCTCATACACAGGGTCCTCTCAGGGTTACTACTCTGATCCTGTCCTGGTGGAGGCAAGTTACCTTACAAAGGCAGGTACCACACAAAGAATTCAGGGGCAGAGCATCTCTGGAGAGCCCATTCACTGTGTGTACATTGGGCGCCCATGGAGTGTACACAAGACTCGATTCTGGGAAGGTCACCTTTGGTGCACATGTTGAGCTACTTTGGGAAAGCTCTCTGAGGGATAGAGTGCTGTGGTTGGTAGTGGACATTAGGAAGGGTAAAGGTGCTCTTTAAGTAGAAGCTTTAAGGTAGAAAGCAATTCAGATAAGGAGCCTTGAGGTGGCCAGAAGGGAGGGACAGCAGCATGACACTCAGAGCCCATTAGAGTGGGTGGAGTTGCACTTTACACTATAGAACTTTGCACTTTAGAAGGGTCCGGGCTTTTTATATCTGTTTCACAGTGCTATACACTTTGCACTTTAGAAGGGTACGGGCTTTTTATATCTGTTTCACAGTGCTCTCTCCCCCACTCTCCCACAACTCAGGGCCTCCCATATGCCAGGCAAGTGCATTACTCCCCAGCCCTCACCCGGGGTGCATGTTCAGAAGAATTTTGGGCAGAAGCATGACATTTTATAATTCTGTCTCCTGCCTCATTGGTGGTGAGTAGACTAAAGGGGCAGGATGAAGTGAGAAGGTCCTGGAGGAGCTATGCCAAAAAAGGATGACCCTGTGCTAGAGAGTGGTGTCACTGTAGAGAGCAGTCACTGTTGTCAAGTGGGGATCCCAACCTGTGCCCCAAGCCAAGTCTGAAAGAGCCAAGCTAAAAGTGAAAAAAGAAGGAGATTTCTTCAGTGTGATCACACTGGAAGAGGGACCAAGAGCCAGAGAACCTGGGTGGGGTTAAATAGAAGCTGAGGATTTGCATGCCCGAGCAGTGCAGGCATGGCCACACACCTCCAATCCAGCCTTGGCTGGACTTGAGGCGCCTCCTGCAAGGTGCTCTAACAAATTGTTAAAATTATGTGACATCTCTTTCTGGGAGGCAGGTCCTCTTCTGGCTGGTGCCTTTTCCTTCTCTCCGTTTGAGATTCCTGGGGAGATACCCATTTCCCTGAGGTCCTTTGTTTTAATACTTTGATAGTTGGATTGAAAGGCACAGTTATTGCTTTAAAATATTTTCCGTTCTGTCAGGTCTGTTACACTAGGATTTACTATGGGTTTAAGAGGATGAAGAAGAGGGTTCCAGAAACTCTTGGTTCCAAAAGAATTTTTACTTTAAAAAGAAAGAAAGAAAGAAAGAAAGAAAGAAAGAAGGAAGGAAGGAAGGAAGGAAGGAAGGAAGGAAGGAAGGAAGGAAGGAAGGAAAAGAAGCATATAGCCAGGACCCAGAACAGTATGAGATACCTAACAGATGACCAAACAAGGAGCTGGTTATGGGGCTGGGCTGGTTGGAGATGCCTGTACGGCGTGTTATAAAGATACTCATCAGGCCACCAGAAGTCTCAGTTGTAGCCTTGGGAGCTCGTGGACTTGGCAGATATGATTGGGTGAAGTCAGCCTTACTCTTAGGCCTTTGGGTCTCACAGTGGGGGCAGCAACTGGAAGGGATGATGGTATCTGAGGGAGGGTATGTATATGCTTTAACTTGAAGACTGTTGTTGTTGTTGTTTGAGTCAGGGTTTCTCTGTGTAACCCTGGCTGTCCTAGAACTCACTCTGGACCAAGCTATCCTCTAACTCAGAGCTACCCCGTGTCAGCTTCCCAAGTGCTACAATCAAAGGTGTTTGCTACTGTGCCTGGCTTAACTAGGAGATTTATAATAGGCTTGTGAACTGATGAAGTTGTCAAGGGGAATTCCTGGTAAGTAGTATCTTATTAAAACTATAGTGACGTGGCAGGTTGGAAAACCTTTGGCATCTATTCCCCTCACCTAACAGACCAGCAGATAGGGATGCCATCAGGTAACATCTGAGGCCTAGAGAAAAGCGTCTTCATCTCCCTGTAGCCGCCTCTCTGATGCATCCACTGACACATTCTTACCTTTGCCTTAACTTACGGTTTCCTTTGTTCTGTAAAACTTCATGAAACTGCTTCTGCTTTGGAACATGGAATTTGAGGTAACCTAAATCTGTGTTGCTGGACCCTGTTCACTCAAAATGGCTCCAGAAGAAACATCTGTTAATGTTCTTTAAGGTGAGAGCTGTGCTTTTTGTGTTGATAAAGTAAATGGGATTGGCTACAAACCATAGCCCACGTCCAGTTTCCAGAATAGTGTAGATGACGTTTGTTGGCACAGCCACACCCCTGGTTATGTGTTACCTGTGGTTGTTAGTGACAGTGGCTAAGACTCATGGCACCTAAGCCTAAAGCACTTACATGGCCCTCGAGCCCGGTTCATAGGCCTGGTGTAGA